GGGGGGAGAGATAATAAGAATGGACTTAATTACAAAGAAGAAAGGCAAAAAGGGCAGCAGTCGTAACCTACCTCTCCTAAATGACCAGGCATTTGTAGGTGTGGCATGCTAACCAGTGGTAACATGCACTCTTCTGCATTCCCCAGTAGCTGTGCACATTTGTTCTCTCAGGTCACGGCCACATCTGCCAGCATGGGCAGTCATGAGCTCCTCCATCAAGAGGATGCCCTAGTGCAAGGATAGTAGTGCACCATTGTGGTATTACAGCATCCCCGTAACAGCTCTGCTGTGCCCACCACGGAGGCAGAGAACACATCTATCTGTACTTACAACCTAAGACCGAAACTCTGCAATAGCACCAGGCATAGACAGACTAAGAGAGGGGGAGAGGGACTGTATGATTTACACAGATGTATTTGGGAAGTATTCAGAACTGAGTGTGCTTACAGAGGACTGAGCCTGTAGCAACACAAATTGAACCTGAGGAAATACCGACAATAAACGTAAGAGCTGCCGACAAATATGTCGGTACAAAGTCATGCTGCCCACCTACTAGAAACCCCAGGCTCTAGTCAGAAAAGTCAATAGCTTTTCTTTATGGAGCAGTGGCCGAAACTGGAGGGCATAGATAACATGTCTACAAAGGGAAACTGTCTCCTGCCATGCATTCCTATCAGTTCATGAACAGTGGGGCGAACACAAGCAGTAACACCAGCTCCGTTGGGCAGTTTGGCAGGACATCCAAGAGCAAGTTGCAAAGCCCATTGAGATTCAGGGATGTCTGGTGATTGGAAAGCCTGGGCAGGTGGGGGAGCCAGGTACTTGTTCTAAGGTCTGATTATTCTATTCAGTTCAGGAACCATGAAGGCATTGAACTACAGTAACAGTTGAGAGCATATTAGAATAAAGACAACAGAGGTCTAGAACTATCCCAGACAAGGTTACCTAACAAAATGGGAGAACAAAGCACCAAAGTATTCCCAGAAGCAAGACAAGAGGTGCAGGATTAATGCATGGTTAGAAACAACACAAAGTCTGAGCCAGTGAACATCATGAGATGTTATTTATTTTTGTTAAAAAGGGACAGGGTGCCACTCCTTATCTGTGCTCCAGCGACACACTCCCACCTCTACTCATGCATGAGCTCTGTGGCTCATTGAAGCCTTCATTCAGCCAAGTCAAGCCTCTACACAAGCCAAAATGAAGCTTAGCATAGAGGCAAGTAGTTTCTACCCAGTTAGCGAGCTGAATTAGCTTACTGAAAGGCCTGCCAAGCACCAGTGCTGACCTAGGCTTATCAAAAGAAATTATTTTGTCACCCTAGTAGAAAAGCCAAACCATTAGCTCATGCTTCAGTACAGTGACAAAGCTATTCAATTTACAGAGCAAGGGGAGGAAAAAAAAAATCACTGTGAGCAGCAACACTATTCTGAAGTCTGATGGAGGACACATTGCTGCTTTCTGGCTTTCCATTCAACATCTCATTTGCAGGTACTTCAATGGCATCAGGGACAAAGTATTCACCTCAACATTTTGTGTTTCTGAGCCACATGAATCTTTTCTTACATGGTTAGCCACCAGATTCCTCTGTTCTTTGCTGGCCAGAGCAAAAAGCTAAACATATTTCTGTACCACAATGAAAAATTAGCTTCCTGAACAGCATATGTGATCACAAGCATCTGAGATAGAAGTACTGTTATGTTGCCAGAAAAATGCTAACACAAAGACTACTATATGGAAACCATTGAGTGTGTCCCTGTGTGTTATGGGCACTGGCTGGCACACAATTACCACTGAGCATGTACTGTCAGCACGGGACCTAGCTGGCATCACTCTCCGCACTGATAACAGCCACAAGCAGCCAACGAGAACATGCAGTTCTTGGGACAAGTGTTCCCATGGGATTTGCTTGGAGTTCTCCATACAGGTCTATCTCACAGCAGCTTCTCCCTACACCAGACATTCAAGATGCAAGGCCCTGGGTTATCATTTGCTCCTGTAGAGCCTCCCTTTTGGTCTGCTATGGCTCTACTCTAACATTCAGGACCTGCTACAGAGACCATACAGACATTAAGATGAAAGACCTAATGTTCACCGCACATGAACTAAGCAACTGCTGCTACAGCTGAGAGGAGTTACATGCTTCAATGAGAAGGCTGAATGAGAATGTCTGAAGTAAGCTCCCTGTAAATCAGTCAGAAGAGAGATACTGTCATGCTATGGATAGGTCTGCAGCTGCAGTCTCAGGGCCACTGCTTGCCTAAGAAAACAGTTACCTATTTATAGCAGGCTGGTCCATGCCTGCAAAACCCACGTGCCAAAGAAGGATAAAGAACATCTGCCAAGGTGGTAGTGAGGAAAGTCAGTGTTATATGCCTTGGCTGGAAAAAGGGCAGGCCCTTTCAGTGGTGCTCTGTGTGAATGTATTCTGCTCCCTCAGGGCCACTTACACAAGCATTTTTCCTTTTAGGCTGGTGATGCCATCTGTTTTCACAGGGAGTGGCGGTCAGACTTGTCTGGCTGCCTTCCCACTGCTGCTGTTCTCCTTTTACCTTCTTCTCCACCAAGAACCAAAGAGGCTGTTAAATGCCTTGTGACCACAGCCAGCCTGCGTATCACTTTGCTGCTGGAATGGGAACAGGTAGCTGCCTGAAGAAGCCTAGACAAGCAGCACAGGACAGAGCAGATTCTGGCTGGGCTTTGCCATGGTTTCCTGTACAGCTTTGCTCAAGTCACATGAACTTCCCCTGCTCTAAGCCCAGGGGAGCTGTACCTGCAGTAAGCTGCATAAGGCAGCAAGGGGTCAGCCAGACCCCCAGTAGACAGCCAGGACCTTGTGAAGCTCAGTACGCCCCTGTTCCATCCTCTCAGGAGTGCCAGATGAGCTGCAGGTCTCCTCAAGGGAAGTGGCCGTAGAGGATCTCATATTTAAAAAAAAAAAAAAAAAAAAAAGGGCAAAAAAAGCAGCAAGCTAGGAGAGCAGGGCCCAGTGCTTAGCCTAGTGTATGTACAGAAGGACCCTGGAGACACAGAGCAAAGATATTAGTGCATCATGGTGGAAAGCAGAGACCAATGCTAAAGTCACTTCAGACTGACTGGAAAGAACTTGAAACGTAGGCGGACAGTACTGTCAGAATGAGGAAGGTCCTCTGAGTAGGGAAGAGTTTCTAGAAAGATCTAAAACATTAACCTAGGAGTTCACAGTATGAGGGATGGTAAGGCTCCATTGTTTACCAAACATAGTAATTATACAAACATTGACAAGCAATGAAACACAGATGCCAAGCACTTTATTTACAGAAAATTCTCATGTTCAAAACCTCAGTTTTCTGCAACCATGCCCATTAGCTAGATAAAATAAAGGTGGCCTTTTTTTAAACTTTGTTTCATATCTATTCTTTAATCATTCATAGCAACAAAACATATTACTACATTTGCAAAAACAAGTTAAAAAAAAAACAGAAAAGAGATAAACTTTGAATTTGCAGGACCCTCCAGAAAATGTTTGGGTTCTTCCATGCCCATTGCAATCCAGGGTAAAAGAACTTAAAACATATCCTTGAGTCCCTTACCCTCACCCAAAAAAAAACGTTAGCTTTGTACAGCACTTGCATTCCTGTGAGGTCATTTACAGCTTTGACTCATGTGTATTAGGAATGACATTCTGTCAAGGCAGAAGAACTACAGAATGAGGAGATGGAAGAACATCAAATCCACACTGAGGCACAAGAGCATTTAGACAGTGTAAGGCAATGTGTGTGTGGGGGGTGATTTAAGGCCAATATTCATAGACTAATTGAAGTCAGTGTGATTGTTCAGGTAAGGAAAACACAGCTATGAAAGGGCTAGGTTTTTCCTCAAGTATTTAAAGTATAAAGCAAAGCTCAAAGAAGCAATGCAATCTGCTCTTGCAGACCAGATGCTGTACTCACTGAATCTAGGCCTCCAGCATCTGCTTCCTCAATGCACAATATACAGCAAATTCTACTGCAGCAAGTTTAGAGCCAAGGATAATAATAGAATACTACACAATGTTGTGTGATATGCATTGTCAGACAGTTAACAGCCTATAGACATGCCTAGAACAATTCTGGCTAGAGAATTTTAAAAGGACAGATCATATAACAGGTGCAGAGTATTTTTAGGCACACTAGTCAATACAGGGGTGTTAGATAGTCAGCTTGATGTTTCAGAAGACAAGCCAACTACCTGTCAAGTTCCAGAAACCCTGTCTCACCCATCCACACAGCACTCTGCTACCGCACTGGATAATATGGAAGGTGTTGGTATGGGCAGACATTCCTGTGCATTGGCAGGAATCGGAAACCGATGAGCAAAAGAACATGGCAGATGCAGCAGCTCAGGCTGTATCCAATCAATTGCTCAAAACTAAGCCCCACCTTTGAAAGCTTTCTACCATAATTTAATGATTACATTAAGAATTGGAGGTGAATCAAGTTCTCCCTCATCCAAGGGGTGGAAATGGATTGGATCTTCATAAATGCATTTTTCCAGAGCTCCTTTTCCCTTGGCTGAAGTGTGTGATTTATGTTGTCTTGCAGTTGTTTTTTTTTTGTGTTTTGGAGTTTGGTTGGTTTTTTTGTTTTGTTTTTTTTTTTGTTTTGTTTTGTTTTGGTTGGTTGGTTTTTCAGGTGGGGGTGTGTGTTTGGATTTTTTGGTTGGGGATTAGGTGTGGTTTTTTTGTTTGTTTGGGGTTTTGGTTTTGTTTTTTTTTTTTTACACTTAGTAAATTCAGATATGTGCTCATAGAAGACAGGTGCTTTAGAATCAGCCTAGGAGACATAGAGGAAGACCTGATGCCAACAGTACAGCACGAAGCACAAGGAAGTCACAGACAGGTAGGTACATCATGGAGAATGCACAGAGAAGGAAGCTCTGTCCCTCCACCCAACAGTAACAGATACTAGCTCGCTGGTGGGGCCACAGCCTCAGATTATAGGTACTTCAAGGCATTGCTCCTGTGCACTCCTGAAACTCCTGATAAGGGCCATAAGGCAACAAGCTCCATTTTCTAGTTTCTGAACAACCAAGAACTGTCAGTGGTATAAACCAGTGACGATGCTTTTTGCTCCATGTGCCAGAATTGCAATACCTTTTACTCACCAATACACTAAACCAGCATTCCTCTATCAGTATTCAGTATCTAGCAAAAACCCTGAAAAATTTATGGATTTCTTAGAAGAAAACTAGTCAGCAGCAGCTAGGGCTTCTCCAGCTTAATATCTTGTGAGAAGGAAGTCAGAAAATTGCTGCAGAGATCTAAGTACTTTAAACTATTAAGATACACGTCCAGACCAAGTTTTTCCAGTCTGTCAAGTTTGGCTGCAACTGCTTAATGTACTTTAAGTCATCCAAAGATCAGCAACAGCTCAAGGAATTCTGGAATTCCCTAGATACCCATCTTACTTGAACTTGCTGCATGCCTTCCCTTTCTCCTCCCTTTAGACAGTGGATTGGGTTTTCATTCAAAATGCAGTTAGAAATAAGAGTTATTAGTATCTGCATAATAACATATCCTTAATTATGCTTCTAAGATATGCTCCCTCTATTTTCCAGTAGGGGAGCTATTTTCATCTTGTGCAATGGTAAAAGTATTGTTTAAATCCTATTAGTAATGTTTAGATTTTCAATATTTTAAGTCTGAAAAATCTCCGGCAATCGCAAACTGAAATTACATCAATCTCATCTGAAAGCACATACACACATGATGAACTGCAAGTTTAGACCCAGATTGTCATAGCTTAGTCTGCCCATATCATTATTTACTTTATTTAATTACTAATTAGTTCAATTACTAATATCCAAATCAATATATTTTTGTTGTGTCTAGAGATGCACATGATATCCAAATTCTCTAGATGGAAAAAGGTTTCAAATCCTGATAAAAGTTCAAAATTAAGCTGAATGGACAAAATCCACTTCTGGTGTAAGCTGATCAGCCACCACGGTCAGATCGAGTTGCATGAAAAGTTAGTTACTAACAAGAGTTGAAAAAGAGAAACATGTACATACCACACAGGAAGCTTCATATTGTTTCCCCAGTTTAGGTCTTAAAAATGCACTGAAGGAAGGGAGAAAAAGTATTAGAGACCCAGAACTTCATGTGTGGATTTTGCTTAGTTATTTTTAGGATTTTTCTCATGTCAGAAGCTTGAGAAAAGGCTAAGAAACTTAATGTAAAGAAAGATATAAGGCCAAAACAATGTTCAGATACCTGTTGATGACATCTGACAAAATGCTATTACCTTTTCTAGAAGACAAAACTACCCACACTGATATGCCAAGAGGCAGTTAATCCACTCTCAAGGAAAGTCCTATTCCCCATGGATAAAATCTTCCATCAGATAGTTTTCAGCCATTTTACCTCAGTGAAAGATTTTCAATATATTCTGTTTAAAATGTGTTAAATATTACCGAACTTTGCCTATTTTAAGCCTGAGATCCATTTGCCAGTTTTGTATTAAGTATTTTCCTCCACAACTGCTGATGCAGAAGGCTTATGATGAAATGCAGGCCTGTACCCTGTAGATAGAGAACACCCACCCTCTACTGTCATTCCGCTCCAGAATGGGATCAGAGTTGAATATTAAAAAAAATTAATCAGGTCACCTTATTACAGCTTTTTTTTTTTTTTTTTGAGGACACTGAAACAGTAGAATAAAGGGATTTTGCTACTGACGCCTTAAATTAGAGCCACAACCTTCAAACCTTCCAACCTCCCCCCCCACAGCCCCCACAATGTTTTCAGTTTAGAATTCTGTTAAGACAGGGTTCACAAGGAACATAAAGCCCCAGCCATATATTCAGCCTGCCCCTCACACATCATTACTCTCCAGTCCAATGAAATAAGGTGAGACTTTGACGTATCTGTTTGCATGCTGACCTCTCAAAGCATAGATTACACTTCCAGAACAGCTGCAAATACAGATACAAGCAAAGCTGCAAGTCCAGTGCAGCACTGAGGGATGCTGCTTCTGGTACCAGAGCTCCAGCAGCCCTCTTAAAAGTGGGGGTGGAAGTGGGGGTGGGGGAAGACAGACAACAGGGAGGGGAGAGGTGCATAGACACACACACACGGATGTTTTAAAGTCAAATCAAGAAGCTGTCTGGGACTGTCACCAGGTTAAGCTGCCTCCAGTCCTCCCCCCATCCCCGATACACACAGATTGCTCTATACTGAGTGCAAAGAGAGCAGCTTGTTTCACGCCTTCATGTTGCAGCTGCAGTAACCGCTTCCTCCCCGCCACTGGGCAGCAGCTGGCCTGCCCACCCTCCCCACTTCCTCTGCCCTGTTGCAGCTGTATCCCAAGTACCCAGAGCTCGCTGCTCTCACCTGGTTTGCCTCCATAGGAAGGTCTGGATGGGCAGAGGGATGCCACGGCCACTGTCCTGCTCCTGGCCTTCTGAGCTTTTCCTTTTCACCATGATGCTGATGAC